CTTTCTTCGAACTAGATCACCCCTATTGCTGACATTCATATCTGGAATGTGACTTCTAACAGGACTGAAAATGTCTGCATTAGGGTTTAGCCGCGGGGTCTGGAAGGGGCTTGCCATTGTCTGGGGCTTATTAAGTCGATGGTTAATGTATTCTCCTTGTGTAAAAGACAATAAATCATCCTTTAATGTATTTAATTCGCTTTGAAATCTACTAATGTTTTCCATTTGTACTTCTTGCCACTGTTGTTGACTTTCCTGCAACTGTTGGAGACTTTCTTCCTGTTTCCTTTCTTGTTCCTGTTGCCACTGCTGTAATCTCTCTTCTTGTTTATTTTTTTCTCCTCCAACCACTGCTGTAGTCTCTCTTGTTTATTTTGCTGTTCGAGCTCCCACCGTTGCAGGTTTTCTTGCCACTGCTGTTGTCTCTCTTCTTGTTTCTTTTTTTTTCCTCCAACAACAGCTGTAATCTCTCTTCATGTTTCTTTTTTATTTTTCCTCCAACCACTGCTGTAGTCTCTTTTGTTGTTTATTTTCTCGTTCTTCTTGTTTCTTTTGCTGTTCTTGTATTGGTGCCATCAAATCTACTAAGTCGTAGTTTGATTTGCCATTTCTTGTTTCCATTTTTTTTTCTTTTCCGTCCCACTCTCTGACACCAATTTGTTACGTCTCTGGTTGTTAGTTAATTTTCTGTAGAAATTCTTTCCGAAGAACTTGAGCGATACAAGTCTTTTCTTAAATAAAACTAGTTTATTCTTTCTCAATACAACTTTGCAATACACTTAATTTCCACAGTCACTTTAACTTAAACACACGCTATAATTCACAATGATTTAAACACTTTACTCACGGCCTGACTCGATTATCTGTCTATATCTTCAGTCTGCTATTCCAGTTCCGATTATCTTGTCTCGCTTTATCTGATGCGCTTATATACAGGAATAGACTTCCGCTGTCGTAACAATATATATATATATATATATTTCAAAACTAGACCACAAATTCCAGCGCTTTCGAATAGTTGACTGTTCTTCTTCAGGAGAATACAGGGTTATGTTTAATGAGTGTGATGAAATATTTGGTTCGGATGTCACGTAAACCGGATGTTCAATATGAGTTGGCCTTGAGAGCTAGCGAAACATAACCTAGAGTTATTTGTGTCAGGATTAGTTTTGTGCCAAAGGGATGTGTAAAATTCGTAAAAGACTTATGTGGGACAATAGTTATAAGAATTGTTAACTAATTTCTATAAAGATAAAATCAAAAATCAAATGAAATAAACAATAGAAATAAAATCAAAATTAAAAAGAGCAAAAGGCGGTGGGAAATAGAGAAAATAATAATGTAGGTCAATATATGGGAAATCAAACCAATATACAGAGAGAAATTTAAGGAAGAATAATACTAATAATGTAAAGTAAGTTTAATCATGAATTTAGTTTTGATAATATTTTCAGAAACATGCGAAGGTCAGCAACCCCGGGATCGAGATTGATACAATTTGGCGTTACAGTATTTAACAGTGTTATCCAATAAGCTTTTTTAATTTCTCTGTTTCTGTTAAATGTAAAATTTGGCTCTATACTCATAAGTTTAATGTCTTCAAGAGAGTGTCCAGGCATGTTAAAGTGTTTTGCGACCGAAAGTTCTTTGTTTGTTTTGATTGATGATTTGTAGTTATTAAAACGTTCCGTATAGTTGTTTTGGTTTGACCTACATATTGGAAATTCCATCTTCGACATTGGATTAAGTAAATAAAATTTTTTGTAGAGCAGGTTATAGAATTAGTGATGTTGAACTGCTTTTGGTTGTCTTTATTGGAAAATTTGTCCGTTTCCTGCATGAAGTTACAGGTTTGACATCGCTGGCTATTGCAAGGTTGATTTGGTGTCGGCTTACTGTTTACATTAGCGTGAACTAAGTGTGAATGCAAAGTTTTATTCTTTCTGAATAAAAGTTACAGGTTTGACATCGCTGGCTATTGCAAGGTTGATCTGGTGTCGGCTTACAGTTTACATTAGCGTGAACTAAGTGTGAATGCAAAGTTTTATTTTTTCTGAAAAAAAAGATAGGAACTTACGTAAAAATATATTAAATCGATCATTAAATTGGAGATAAAAGTGTTTCTTTAGTATCCGGGGTAGATTTTTTAGTTTTGGGTGATAGGTAATAATCAATGGAACACCAGAATAATTGGTTTTAGGCAATTGTTTCAAGGCAGATGTATGTGGTATATTGTTAGATTTCTCAACTTGTTGGGTGATAGTTCTTACTATAAGAGCATATCTTTTTTAATCTAAGTGCTTGATTGAATGTGATTTTGCTTTTGGTGTGTGGAGGGTGACAGCTTTGGTTATGTACGTATTGTGGTTTATCTGTTGGTTTTCGGCACAAATCAATATGTAGTACACCATCTTTTAATGTTAGGTTTACATCTAAGAAACTTATTTGGATAGTGGAGTAGTCTAGAGTAAATTTAATATAACTGTGGAAGGTGTTAGCATGTCTTAAAAGGACAGTAATGAACCTTCGTCTCCTACCCAAATAAAAAAAATATCATCACTGTAGCGTCTCCAAAATGTTTGTTTGTCTGTGCAGTTTTCCAAAAGTTTCGTCTCTAAGTTCCCCACAAAAATGTTGGCATAGTTTGGTGCCATATATATATATATACATATATATAACAATAACATATGAAAAGACAAACGCTGACTTACATACACTAACTACAGAAACCAACAGTACTATTCGTAACCAGCTATTATCCTACAGATGTGTTTTCTACTACCATATCACCATCTATAAGTTAAAAAGCCCAAACTCATTGGTAGTACAACAGTTAATGTAATTATAGGCGAAAGACAACAGTATTACAGCCATTCATTCTAAATTACACCACTTAGATCACTATTCTTGCCATAACTACAGCATATATGAACGTACACAAAGACTAAAGTAGAGTAAGTATAATGGACAACAGTAAAATAGATTCATTGTCATAGCCAAAAAGCGACAGTAGTTTACACATCCGTTGCGCAGTACGCCACCGGAGGACGCCACGTACGTGTCGACTTCAGGCAATAGGGGAAGAGGTGATGATGCCACTAGAGACGATGACGTAATATTTCTACAAAGTTTCATCAGAGGGCACTGGCGACATGCAATGATATCCCCAGAGACAATGTCACCAGAAGGCGCGTTGCTAGGCCGCCATGACAGACGGACATGACGTCAGAGACGATGATGTCATAACTTTACGAAATTGAATCAGAGGGCGTGGCAATCTTAGGGAGCGGTGATATCATAGTTTTGATACCAGAAGGCCTGTTACTAAAAACGGATTGTGTTAATAAGGTGTATAGGTATATGTTGTTACTATAGGTTCTGTAGGCGGACAGTGTTACTGTTACTATACATGGGCGGTGTTACTAAAGTTAATAGGAGAGTGCTGATATTTAAATTGTATATGTGAATACTGTTACTATAGGTGAATGTTATTACTAAGGCATTACTTGGTGGATTATATATGTTTTACAAAAGCGGATAGTCCCATATGATTGCATACATATTTCAATTTATGTTTAGGTATTTATTGTTTTACAAAAGCGGATGATGCTACTAGGCGGATATTTATTACTACAGCTCTATAGGAAGATATTGTTACTAAGTATAATGTGTGTATACGCTTTACAAAGGCGGAGAGTGTTCCATAGGATTGCATAGAGATTTAAATTTATGCTTATATTTTTCATTTACATATGTTTTACAAAGGCAGATAGTGTTTAACAGAATTGTGTTATTAATTTCTATAGACCGATGGTCTTACAAAGGTGAATAGTGTTTAACAGGAGTACATACAGATTTCAACTTACATTTTAAGTTTTATAAATGTGTTTCTATATTTCCATAGTACAGCATGCAGGTTTTAACTTATCTCATCTTACTTTTCATATGCTTGTGTTTCTATAGGACGATAGTGTTTCTAACACATTTAACTTATTACTGAAAAGTGTTATCATACCTAACCTTTTATATTGATATTGAAGAAGACAGCTGATTGTGTTTTAACATGCTGAATATAGTTTTAGTTTCTATATTTAAGCATATTTCAAATTATTGTCCTGAAAATAATGCTTTTCTGGTATCAAACTATGATATCAACCTCTCTAAGATAGCCACGCCTTCTGGTTCCATTTCGTGGAGCTATGACGTCATGTCCGCCTGTCATGGAAGTCTAGCAATGCGCTCTCTGGCGACACTTTGTGTAACATGCGTGTGGCACTCTCTTGCGACATGTCGCTTACGGACGGGTAAACTACTAACAACATGTAACTGTCACGTCCACAACTGTACCACAAGGAAAGTACACAGAAAATAAATGCAGTGGAACAAGATCTTTTTCATCACCATCTATCACATTATTTTATGTGTTGTTTAAGAGCAAATGCTCCTCATTGTACAACAAGAATTGGATACAGAACTTTCTTGCCTGAGTGTATGGTCTTATGTGTCAATGTAATATAAAGTCGCTCACACACATACATACACGTTTCTCACATAAACATCTGCCAAGCGCATTAGTTAATAAGCATTTCCTCAAGCGAAAAGTAAAGAACTATATAATGTGTAGTTGGTCTGGAACTATGATTTTACTAGACATTTTTAGAATTTGTATTCAGTAAAATATAAAATAGAACTAACTGAGCAGTTCAGGAACATGTTTTAATGAATTTACGAGCTTTTTGTAAAGCGTTGGGCTTATCATTAGTTAAACCATCAAATATTCAGATTAAGTAATAAATGGTCGAATAAATACAATTAAATAAAAATATGAATAATAAAATCAGAAATGGCTGTTGATGAACGTCCTTGCAGTAACCTCGTTTTATCTCCAAACTTAAACATGTGCTAAGATACTAAGGTTCTAGAACTTGGCATTCCAGTACTCATCATATATTATTGCTCAACTGAAAATTTCGTTATCGCATAGTCTACACTGTATTATATAATGTTTAAATCCTTTTTGTTAAACAATATGAAGCAGACATCGTATGGTCCAAAATCGGAATAGAAGTAATGATATTAAAGACAAAAAAAAAGGCTTACTGTCCGAAACTGGAACTGTGAGTAAACAAGCTACACCACCAACTACCATAAGCGCCATCAGAGAAATTCGACGACCAACGTGTTTTATGAGGATGAATCCAATAATATTGGCTGGAAACTCAAGCGTTCCGGCGATAAAAAAGTTTATCAAAGGATTTCCACCCATGTCGTTCGTATGTAGAGACAACCCATAGTAGGTAAACGCATTCACAAACCTGCAGAGAGGTGTTTTCAAATCAAATCTAAAATAATTATTTCATTGTTTCTAATCAAGAAGAACGAAAAAGGATGCAAAAAATTACATTTTTTTCACTTTTATTAAAATACATAAATTAATTAACCATATTGAGATAGTTTCTGAATATTTTCAGTTAAATATTATGGAACAAAAATAGATTCATTCTTTAAACTTGAAAGAATAAAGTAAGAAAAAGACTGATATTATTAAAAAGCTAATATTTATGGAAATTGCATTATTTATCTATTTTCTACGTCCAAGAACATCATTCATTAAAATATTGTTACGTCTCCGTTTGTTAATTAATTTTCCGTAACTTCGTTCCGACGAAACTTTAGCGACACAAGTCCTTACTTAATAAAACTGGTTTATTCTTTCTGAATATAACTTTACGATACACTTATTTTCAACAATCGCGCTAAAACAAACGCTATATCAACGAACGTCAACAATACTTCTGACTGCAGTTCAATTACTCACTATCTACACACACATTACATTATTCCCGTCACGTTG